AGGTTACAGCCTCCGCCGCTGAACAGGAGGCAAAGAAAACTAAAATCACTCCTATGATGTTTGTCATTAATTTCTGTAAATAAAATAGCAATTCCAAACTTTCAACCTGTGTAATAAAACAGTCTGATTTATTTTACTGATTTATTTTAATACAAATTTAGAACACAAATAATAAAAGCCTACAATAAAGCCTTTAAAGCATGTATATTAGACCTGTTTAAAGCTCCACAGTAGGTTTATATGATTCACAAGAACCATTTCAGTCGGTGACATCATCACTACTGATGCGTTTCATTGGTTAAAACGTCCTCTATCAAAATGTTCTAGTGTCAAAGCTTTTCTGCCACATTCTGTGTTTGGGTGTCAGAATTCGACCGTTAACCAGATCCCAGCAACCAAACAGGAAACAGCAAAAACACACAATGCTAAATAAAATGCTAAATTAAAAAAGGCTCCGAATGAAAAAGGAAACTGACTGAAATTCCAAAAACCAGCTGGGAATTTTAAAGAAGCACAAAAAGCTTAGAACATTAGAGAAGCCTGTAAACCTCTGATCATCACATCACAGCTATTAGAGCATCTGATAAACATTTAAATAAAGGTCATAAACAGCGTCTGGTTTCCCTCCATCTCTTCCTGTTTCTCTCGTATGGGATCGATATTTCAGACTCCAGGCCAACGCCATCAGCTTCACAGCAGATTGATTCAATGTTTTCATTGGTGTGACATGCAGAGTTTACAACATTCTTCATTCTGCAGCCGATGACTTTTTATGCTGGAATAAATTTGTACTGCTGCCTTTTGCAGCGATGGTTTCACAGCACATCTTAGCCCCTTTGGTTTGAATTCCTATTACCCTGCCGTATATCGCTCAGCTGCTGTCGCCATGTTTAGTTTAGTACCAGAAAATCATCCTGTTTGGAGGAGGGGTCTATGATGCATTCAAAGGGTGTGGGAAAAATAAAACATTGATGTCTGCGTGAAGAAACTCAATATACATCGAGTATATTAACCCCTAGTAACACAATGATCTGCTAACGTCTATGGGAAAGCTAGCATGTGTGGGAAAGCTAGCATGTGTGGGAAAGCTAGCATGTGTGGGAAAGCTAGCATGAGCGGAAAGCTGGCATGAGCGGGAAAGCTGGCATGAGCGGGGAAGCTGGCATGAGCGGGAAAGCTAGCATGAGCGGGAAAGCTAGCATGTGTGGGAAAGCTAGCATGAGCGGGAAAGCTGGCAAGAGCGGGGAAGCTACCATGAGCGGGAAAGCTAGCATGTGTGGGAAAGCTAGCATGTGTGGGAAAGCTAGCATGTGTGGGAAAGCTAGCATGTGTGGGAAAGCTAGCATGTGTTGGAAAGCTAGCATGTGTGGGAAAGCTAGCATGAGCGGGAAAGCTAGCATGAGCGGGGAAGCTAGCATGAGCGGGGAAGCTAGCATGAGCGGGAAAGCTAGCATGAGCATGAAGCTGGACTCTATGCCGAGGTTAGAAAGCGTTGCCGGGCGGTTCTGGTTGTCCGTCTCTCTTTAGAACCTCTGTCTCCATGTGGAACCTTTATTCTGAAGGTGTGAAGGCTTTTATTTTGACAGTGTGGAGGTAAACCCAACAGTTTTGACTCAGATTTTGCTTGTTTCTCTGCAGCAGATGAAGATGAACCAGATGAACCCGGATGGGAATATGGGGCCCTCACAGGGACCGGGTCCCATGCCCTCCTTTACGGGACCTGGAGGTCCTGGGAGTTCGGGCCCCCCTGGTCAGCAGGGCTACGCTCCAAACATGCCTCCTCAGCAGATGGCCCCCCAAATGGGCCCCGGAGGGATGCAGCAGTCTTTTATGCAGCCTGGACATATGGGTCCCCCCTCTGGACCCCCGTCACATCAGGGGCCTCCTCAAGGGATGATGGGACCCTCAGACATGCAGGAACCACAGAGACATCCTGGCCCACCCAGACACATGGGCCCCCAAGGACCACATGGAATGGGGCCCAGAGGGATGCAGGGGCCCCCTGCAGGAATGATGGGTCACCCTCCTCGAGGAATGGGTTTGAGGGACCCTCAAGGGCCTCCACCTCAGGGCGGCATGATGCAACAGCAAGGAAACATGATGGGCCCTCAGGGCCAAATGCAGGGTGGGATGGCGGGGCCCCCCAGGACACACGGCAACATGCCTAACAACTATGGGATGGGAAACATGCAGGGGCCCCAAGGAAACATGCAGGGGCCCCAAGGAAACATGCAGGGGCCCCAAGGAAACATGCAAGGGGCCCCTGGAAACATGCAGGGGGGCCCTGGGAACATGCAGGGCCCACATGGAAACATGCAGGGGGGCCCTGGGAACATGCAGGGCCCACATGGAAACATGCAGGGGCCCCGTGGAAACATGCAGGGCCCCCCCTACATGCAGCCCCAGGTCAGTAGAACCCGGCAGGTTCTGTTCCATTTTTAGGTTCGGCTTGGTATCAACACTAACTCTGCTCTGGTGTCTGCAGGGTCAGAACTCGGGGCCCATGATTCATGGAATGGGGCCACAGGGGCCCAACAACCAAGGTGGGTTCCTTCAGGGTTCCCCAACAGAGTACCATGTGTCGCCCTGTAGGGGCCAAAGCAGTTTGTTCTGAGAGTCTGAAGTGTCTTTTGCTTCCAGGGGACCACCGGGGGCCACCACCTAACAACCACATGGGCCCCTCTGATCGGCAGGGCCACGGAGGCTCAGGGGGACCTGCCCAGGGCTCGGGTTCCTACTGGGGAGAAAACCAGCAGGGCCGGAGGGGCCCCCAAGACTTTGATGGAGGACAAGACTTCCACGGCCGAGGAGACGACAGCTGGAGGCCAGCGGGGCCGGGGCCCGGGCCAGGGTACCAAGGAGGTAGCCACAGAGGAGGGGGGCACCGGGGCGGCGGGGGTAACTGGGGCCCCGATGAGCGCTTTGGTGGGGGGGACTTCAGAGGACGGCGGGACGACAGGTGGGTGAGCCGGTTCTGATTGACGGAGAGTTCCGCCCCAAACTGGGTTCTGACCCAATCCCGTCCTTTCAAAGGTTCCGAGGAGGCGGGCCTGGCCGAGCAGGGGGGCGGGGCTATGCTGAGGAGTACGGTGGCCAGGAGGAGGGCTTCGACGGCGGCGAGGAGATGAGCCGAGGCTGGGACTCAGGAGGCCGAGGGCGGCCACAGAGAGGCGGGGGCCACCCACGAGGAGGTGAGGGGGCGGGGCCAAAGATCACGGGAGCTCTGATGGGAATCAGCATTCTGTCTCATTCTAGGAAGTCTTATAGATCTATCGCACAGTGTCCCGCAGCTCCTTAGAGTTTTTGAAGAAATAAGTTCAAGGCCTGAAGGTTTGTGGAAACCGTCATGAAGACGGTCTCCCTCCTTCAAAGTTTATTGTTTTTCAAATTAGGCTGGGAGATCGATGGCATTAGAAATATGTCCGGCAGTCCGAGCTGCGCTTTACTGCACCAAGCTCTGCTTTACAGCAGTCTGAGCTCCGCTTTACTGTACCTAGCTCTGCTTTACGGCAGTCTGAGCTCTGCTTTACGGCAGTCTGAGCTCTGCTTTACGGCAGTCTGAGCTCTGCTTTACGGCAGTCTGAGCTCCGCTTTACTGCACCTAGGTCTGCTTTACGGCAGTCTGAGCTCTGCTTTACGGCAGTCTGAGCTCCGCTTTACTGCACCTAGCTCTGCTTTACGGCAGTCTGAGCTGCGCCTACAGCAGCAGCCAGGGCTAATGTCAGCGCCTGCGGCGGCCAGGGCTTCCAGCTACTGTATAATGGCGTATTGGCAGCGTTTTGGTATAAAGGGGGTTCACAGGAGGAAACCGTCAGTTCTCCTCCAGACTTCATCCCCATCATAGGGTGAGCCAGAAGGTGAGTGATGGATCCTCCCTGCGTTCACGCCCACCACCAACACACTTCCTAACAGACATGACGCTCAATCTGCTGACACCAGAAACCTGCTTTATTTCTTTTTATTGGATTTTGTTTTTTAGGCGGGCGGTAAACAGCAGCTTTGTTAATACCATGATCAAATAAATCTTTTTCTGCAGACCGGGCGCCTCCAGGCGCATCGCTGCCCCCATTAGGACGCCGTGGATCATTTCCTGGGCATTACACTGCCGTGCATTATGCAGAAGTTAGGCTGTCGTTGGACAGAAGTTTTGGACTCGTTCTGAATCCTCTATGTTTACGCCCAGAATAGAAATAATCCACAAAGAGTTCAGCGTCTAGTTTAGTAGATTCTGGGACTAAGTCGCTGTGAAAGGCTATTATTCCCCCACTAAATGAAAAACTATTATTATCTAGAGACTGTTAGTAACAGGAAGTGAAATGCAGCTCCAGACTGGAATGGACTTGGAGAGAAGACGAGTCGGTTCTGGCGTTCCCGTGAAGTGAGAAACGATTCTCTGATGCTAACAGAAAGTGTTCCACCTGTTGAACTGAACGCTGGGTGTCTGAGGGGGGTGAGAACTTTTCCAAGCGCTGCTGTCTCATGGTGTCTCCAGGTCACGACGGGTATCGGGACGACGGCTCGTCTCCTGGTGGCCGGGATCGTCCCTCTTCCATGCAGGGGATGGACATGGCGTCTCTGCCTCCAAGGAAGCGTCCCTGGCAGGACGGTCCAGGAACAGGAGACCATGACCCCCCTGATGGAGGTCAGCCATGTTTGCTCCAAACTCCACGCCGCTTCATCACAACTCGTCCTGGTTTCTTTTTTTTTAATCCTTCCCTCTGTCTCTGCAGGTCGTCCTCAGCGGGACGACGGCGGCGGCTACGGTCCCCCTGGACGAGGCGGGCGGGGCGGCTGGGGCCCCGGTGGAGGGCCGGGTCTACGGCGAGGAGGACCGCCTCCCAGAGGAGGGCCGAGGGGCGGGGGGCGTGGCCGGTAGTGGCGGGCCTCTCTCAGCGCCTTCACACCACATGAATCTCTGGGCTGTGGTCCTGGTGCCTGGGTGGCCCGGTTCTGCCCGGTCCGGTCCGGTCTGGTCCGGTTTGACCCGGTTGGGCCCGGCGGCTGTATCATACTGTAGAGACTGTTTTGCTGCGTTTTCTAAAAGATTTCTATGTGTTTGTGTTTTCACCAAGTTGGACAATAAAGATTGACAGTTGAAGTGCGGGCGCAGCAGCGCCCCCTGTGGACCATCAATGCTGACTGATCTGACCCTGATCCACTGACTGCCATCTACCACCAGCATCCCTGTATTCAATCAGTCCAATAAAAACTCCAACCAGGCTGCAGCTTCTGTCACAGGTCCGGATGTGGGCGGAGCCACAGAGCAGAGCGGCGTTCTGATGCCGCCGCTGCATTAAGGTCCGATCACATCAAACCTGATTAATGTGTAAAGTCTGAGGGGGCGGGGTCTGGTCAGTCTCAGCCGTTACAGGGGACCCCCTGATTGACCGCCTGCATTTGGTGCCACTAGATGGAGCCAACGAGTCACACGCTGCTGCTCTGCTGACTCATGACTCGGCGGCCAATCAGGGAAAGAGAAAATAAAGTCAAAGGTAGAAATAATGAATGCTCACCTCCAGCTCAGAGCCCGCTCTGCCGCCGCCCGCTGCCCAGCATCAGGGCTCTCTGAGGGGGCAGATTCACCAGGAAGAGCTGCTGAATCCAGCTGCTTCTGGAGGAACCAGAGCGGATCTTTGTTTTCCTCCAGAAATAGATGTTTGATTCTAGAGTGGTTCATCATAGAGAAACACTCAGCAGCAGGCTGGGATGTTAAGGTTCACCTGGACTTTTATTGTGAAATGCTGAAAGGAAATGACCTGGGGTTGCCAGGGGTAACGGCAGGTGGAAAGCAGATATTAATCATTCCACTAAGGTCATTCAGGAATGATTGATGCAATAACTTCATATCAGGGAACATCTGCTGGGATGTGATGTCATCAGCCCTAATTATTAATTATTCTCTCTATAAAACTAACAGAAACAAAGCAGCTCTGAAAAGTAGGATTTTAATGGGTGATAATGACCTCTGGATGACCTTGAATATAACCTTTTTCCTTTTCACTAATGACCATTTTAATGCTAAAACCTGCTCTATAGAAGCTCTAACCATTGAGTCTACCTGCTGAGTGTTTTCCACATCACTGGGGGGGGGTCTGCTCCATGCAGCTGAAGCTCCTCCTCCTTGATGATGCGTTCAGGGTGTAAACACTAAATGCAGAGATGGAGGAAATGACCGCGCTCACTCTGAACGCACCATCAGGATGCCAGGTTTTATCCTGCCTATGGGAGCATCGATACAGGGAGACTGCAGCAGGTCCAGTGGGATTACCTTTCATTGGTGGGATTATGACAGATTATCCTCATGTTTCACAGTTTAACTGCTGTTAAACGAGACGTGCTGATGAGAAAAAACCATTTCTAAAAGATGAGGACATAAATATACTTTAGTGGGATTATAATCCTGATGAACAGGATGTTTGGAGGTGGACTTTCTCACTTAGAAACCTGTTCAAACTATTTTCCAGCTCATAAGGTCATTAAAGTCAAGCTTCTCTCTAGCTGGAAGCTACAGAGCAGGTAAACATCCACAGCGTTCAGGTTTCTGGGGGCCATCATGGGAGGGCCCCGTGGCGCCAACATTCTCATCTCTCCCGTAAGGAGCCAATCACTGGTCCAGAAACTGGATCAGAATGTTTCACTGCAATGTTGAACTCTGAGGCATTAGCGGCCCCTGAGGGCCCCAGGAAACGACCCTT